GCAAAAATGAATTGAAATAACATATAAACAATTCAAATATTATTTGAAGAAAATAATAATTAGAAATAAATTTAAAAAAAAAAAAAAAAACAGTCCTCTTACAATATAGTTAAAACATTAGATAATGAAGTAATAACACAATCAAATACAGCTTTTAATTTTGGTACACGATTAATTGTTTTTAATGGACGTAATACACGAAGAACACGTAATTATTTAATTGTATTTAAATTTTTTCCAGCTCCATTTTCTTTTTAAAAGATAAAAATTTGATAAATATATATATATAATTTTTATTTGTATTTAAAAACTTTTTTCTTACGTAAAACCAAAAGCAACTAATGCACAAATAACAACAAGTGCATCAAGTAAATTCCATATGTCACGACAATAAGAACCTTCATGAAGTACAACACCTAAATCGACAATCTAAAAAAACAAAATAATAATAATAATATTTTTATTTATTAATATTCTTCTTTGTTAAATTCATTTTAACAAACCTTAAGTAATAATTCAACAGTAAATACACCTGTAAATGCATAATCAAGGTAATTGAGTACTAAATTACGTGTTGAATTTTCATGTACAGGATCTTCAGCAGCTAATGATATTGAACTGAGACATATAACAATCATAATAAGTAAATCAAAATAACGAAGAGTAACAATAAAATGACAAAATCGACGAATCCTATAAAACATAATTACATAGAATTATTCATTCGAATCAATGTTTTTATTCAGTATGAGAGCTTTGTATACACCAAGGATGATGGCCCATTTAACTCAACGTAAAATTAAGTTAGGTTTTATTACTTAATACTTAATATGAAGTTGAAATGATTGAGCCAGGCAGTAGAAACCAGAATAGTTGAGTGCCAGGGAAAAAAAGGACTCCTTGAGCAATTTTCAAAAGCAGGAAGCGTCATATCTCATGCGCCTCTCATGATAGACAAATATCGTTTAATTTCGAGCTCTTCTCTAGTTTGATACGGTTTCCGAATGGCATTGTCGGAGCCATTTAAGAGAAAATCTCTGCTAAACCCGTGCTTTGTCCTTACATAAATGAAGAAATCGTTTGCTGAAATTTGATCGGAGAGAAGGATTTTCATTTCAAACAATCCGATTTCAGCAAATAATTTCTTCACTATTGTAAGGAGCAAACAAGATGATGTTCGGGTCATAAAAGAGAATTCTCTCTAACACTTGATTATTCTAGAAAACATGATGTATTGTTCTTCTGCATGAGGCTACGATTGACACAAAAATGCAAACTTTCTAACCAAAGTGGCTAGAAAACAAAAACGCGAAATAGAGTTCAAATGGGAGTGCGGCCGTATCCTCGCCTCTCTCCTCCTCCTGGATTCATTATTGTTTACAATAAACTCTCCTAGCCGATTAGGCTTCAGTAAACGATCCCTTCACTATTGTAAGGACAACATATTGTTGTCCCGACTAATCAGAGAATCTCTCTGAGATGCTTTCGATAATTAAATAATACTCATCTAACGCAACAACTTAACCTTAATTTTATCTTAAGTTAAAGGGTTCAAACTTTAGTAGAGACTACAGACGTCCGTAGGCTAATTCATCTCCCCGAAAACAAAAAATCAAGATAAATTCCTGATTGAAATATATATTATTAAACTTACGGGTTCGTACTACTAAAAATAAACATTGAACTATATGGAAGAATTGGTTTAACCACACGAACTTGTTCTTTTTTCTTAGCTTCGGCTTCAGCTACAGCTTCAGCGGCTTTTTTTTTTGCTGCTTCTTCAGCACGAGCTTTTACAGCTTCTGGATTATCAAATCCGGCTAATTTATTCAATGCTGTTGATATCAAATGAAAATAGAAAAATATTTTTCAATCATCAAAAAAAAAATAAAATAAAATAAAATTTCTACTTGGAATAAAAACTGGACCAAGATCATAATCTAAACCAGGTATATAATCTAGATCAGCTTTTTCATATAGATGTCTATCTAAATAATCATCAGCTTTTGAACTTTTTGGTGGATTTGATGGTTTTTTTTCCAATGCTGTTTTTACAGTATTTTCAACATGTTCTCTTTTTGTTGTTTGTCGAAGATTATTTCGATTTAAGAATGGTTCTTGATCTGTTTTTTTAGATTTAGTATTAGGTGAAGTAGCTGCTGTTGTTGTTGTTGTTATTGGTTCTGCTGGTGATGAACCTAATTTAAACATTGAGTCAACATCTTTTGTTTCACGTTCACGTTTCTAAAATTTATTTAATAATTAGTATTTTCTTTTTTATCTAACAATATATAATAAAATTACTTCTTCTTCGGCTGCTTGTTCTTCTTCTTCATCTTTCGTAAGTTCATGTGCATTTGCTAAATTATCAACAGCAATAGCCAAAAAGACATTAAGTAATGTATCTGATATAAAAGATTTTCTTTTTTTATTATAATCTTATAATAAATAAAATAACCTTACAATTGCCAAATAAAACAAGAATAATAAAATAAAGTGAATAAATCATGCCTTTACCATTGGGTCCATCTTGAGAAATAATACCATTATACATAATTTCATTCCAATCTTCACCAGTTAAAATCTAATAAAAATAGAGATTATGTTTTAGTTGAATAAAAAACAAAACACATTAGAACATAGTTGAATTATTTTACTTGAAAGACAGTGATAAGTGCTGTAGCAAATTTATTAAAATTTTGTAATGGTGTACCATCTTCAAAATTGAATCTATTCGGTAAAAAACAAAACAACAACATAGAAAATAATTTCAAAATAAAGACAATCACACTTACTCGCCACCAAATAATTGCATACCCAATAATGCAAATATTAGAATAAATAAGAAGAGAAGAAATAATAAACTAACAATTGATCGCATACTACTCAAAAGTGATACAACTAAATTACGAAGAGATGCCCAATGCCTATAAGAAAAAAATTCAATATGAAAGACAATAAATCTATACAACACATTTTCTAATAAATAATTTGATGAAGACTATCAATACGATAAATAATCTAAGACATTTTGGCGGTGGTGGTTGAAACTTTTCGATGATTTTCTTAGTTTCATGAAATTTTGAAATGAAAAAGGGAGAAAGTGAGGATAAAAAACTAGACAAGAACAATCGGAAAAATTTATTTTGAATGTCAAAGGTTTTCAAAAGCTTAAGATCTTTTCTTACATCCCGGCGGCGGTGGCGACAACGTTTCATCACATCGACTTACACATCTACACATTCAGTCAACTTCATTTTTCCTGACATTGATTTTGACACAATTTTTTTTTACTCCTACGAGATTTTTTAAAAACAGGAATAAGACTAAACAGATACAAAACCAATTGTGGATACTCGAATAGTTTTTATTGGGGTATATTTAATAGGTTTTGAAGTTCTTTCTTGTAAATAATTTAGAAACTAGTAATTACCTTAAGAAACACGAATTAAACACTTGAGTAACTTTTTCAAATATGATACTACTATTTGAAATTTACAGAATAACAGATGCTGTCGCGTAGTTTTTTAAGTTTAGTCATAAAATGACTCTAATATTTCTACTATGTTGATCATTCATAATCAGATTTCTTTTCTTATAAAATTTATATTCAAAGCAGGTTCAAGAAAAGTCATTCCGCACCTTCAAAAAAGTGACTTTTGAGATAAACATGCAGACATATTGCATGAGATCTATACTTTAAATATTCATTAAAAAAACACTTTTCAATTTTGAAAAGTCTTTCATGATCAGTATGATTATATTTTTAGGTGAATATAGACAAAAACTGAAGAAAATCTATCTGTGACACCATTTTCTATTAACTGTATGCTTGGTTAGTAACACAATTCCATGCATTTGAATTGATTTTAGCAATTGATAAATGATATTGTTTAACGATGGCTAGATAAACTGTAGAAACAATGTTTTTTTTGTAGATCTTTTAAAAGCAATTAATATTCAGCTGCTATTTCTTCAAATGAGAAGAAAGAATTTTTTAGTTAGGTTCTTGTTCTTTAGAAAACTTCTTTTTTTTTTGGTATCTCAAGCCTTTAGAGGTTATAATACCCTGTAAAATTCACTAATGTACCAGTGACAAATCTCATTCTTCTTATTCTATACGGTAAAACAACTCTCCTTTAAATAGAAGAAAAATTCCCTGTTCGCTACCTTGATGTATACTGAAAAAAGCTGTTACCATAATTCCTACGAGATTAAAATGTGAAATACGATAGAGTTACTACTATTGTAAAAGAAATGATTAATCAATTTATGTTTCGGCTTATGAATTCTCACTTACTATTAATGCATTTCGATGATGAATGATATTACTTACAATAAATGTAAGAGAAAAGTAAAGAACAACTATCATATACTAATCTTCGTTGTAGTTTTTTGTTTTTTAAATATCTATCACACCTGTGTTAGGTGCAAATTTCTACCTCTCTACTTCAACACTTCTTTTAGATCATATTTTACAAAAGACTTTGTATCGAAAACTATAGAAAGTTTTATCAGAATCCCATATACTATGTTCATGTTAGATTTTTTAGATAGCGCGCGGCCTGTACTCATGATTAATAAATTGCATTAGTAATTACTAATAGAAATCAATTGAATTATATTTTTTATATATCCGATGATCAAAGAAATCAAACTCTCGTTTTTTTTTTCTTGTCAGCATAGACATTTATTGAATAAATGATTTAGATTGGTTCCGGTAAAGAAAAAACTAAATCAATTAAAATCATAAATTACTAACCGAGTAACTTTAAAAATTCTCAGTAGACGTAATGAACGTAAAACTGATACACCAAATGATTCTTCAGGATTAAAATGTGTCCAAATAACTTCAAATATAGAACCAACAATAACCTAAAATTAAAAATAATTAAATCAATAGAAAAATCATAAGAAAAACTGACAACAAAATCAAATATATTAAATGATGATGCAAAATATTGATCAATACCAAGACCATACATTTTAAAAAGCATTTCAAAAACGAATAAACCAAGAAATACAAATTCGGCAATATCTTAATAAGAAAAGAATAATTTAACTAAAAAACTAACAAAGATATAAACATACATAAAAAATCAGTAAGAAATTGTTTTTGTCCATCATGTTCAATAGCAACACAAGCTGTGTTAAGAAAAACAAGCACAATAACAGTCCAATAAAATGCTTGAGTTTTAACCAAAACACGTATTTTACTCCTTGAAATATTCAATAAAAATAATGTTTTTTTTTTTTTAATTTTCTTACTTTATTACACGCTGTTGAATATGCCATCGACGAGAAAATGTTCGTGGTCGATCAGTTCGTTCAATACCAGTTCCACGACCACGATTGAATGCATGATCTTTAGAAACAAAAATATATAATAATAAACTTTATGACGGTGAACCTTGTAAATTACAAATTCAAATATACTAATTAATTATACTAATCAAAATTTTTTACAGTCGTATTTCAACAGTTATAATAATTAATTTTATGATATCGAATATCCTCTTACTGTCTTTTACAAGACAATAAAAAATAATAAGCGGTATCTTTTTCTCTATTTATGAACACTTGACTCAAGTTGTTTTACTCTAAAGAGAATTTATGGCTTTTTTTTTTTGTATTAATAAAAAGCTACAGAATTTCCTAACATAAATGAATGAAATATTGATAGATGAAATTTTGTTGTCCAAGCCAAGACAAGCCAACGTTTTATGTGTACCTTCGAAGGCTATTTCAATCTCAATATCTCATAGAAGATAACATCCGGAATGACAACTTTTGTTCTACTCGTTAAGATATATGAACCCTTAAAATTTCAAATTTTTCTAATCAGACATTCTTCAGAAACTCTGCAAAGGTGGTACCATTCACTAATCAAATTTCATAATGAGAACAAAGATTACGTGATTTGTGTCAACATAGTTCAACTATTTTTCTCAGCTTCTTAATCATAAAAAAAAAAAGAAAGTTGAATGAATTTTCAATAACTTCTTTGTTTATTGTGTGTATTTTCAATTTAACTTTTATTTTTAATCTACATAACTATGAATCAATTCATATTAATATCCGTTGACGTTAATCCATTAGACTTAGTGTCACTTGCAAAGACTGCTATTTTGGGATTGAAATCAATTTTTTCATTTCCTGAATCGTGTCAATATTGTTAGTTTTCATTTTCTTTTTTTTTTTCAATAATATAGTATTATTGATTCTAATTCCGATTTAAAGTCATGCATCCTTCTTATTACGATTTCGTTCAGATGGGAGGTCATAACAAAAATTCAAGGTTTCTATTTTTTATCGCTAAAACAAAAGCAGTCATGGAAAAATTTTTGATTGAGTATGAGTTAGAAAAAGTTTTTAGCGTATTATTTACACGTTTATATCGAAAATAAAATAATTCGAGAAGAAAAAAAAATAAAACATTTTTCATGTTAGTCATTACAGATAGGTCTAAAACTCATCCAAGTTGTTATAACAAAACCTAACACCGAGTTCTTATACTTTCCATACAAACTAACTAACCACAAGGGCAGGTGTATGGCATAACATAGCCAGTATACTCTATCGAACGGATAATCCGAGACGAATATATGTTAGTGATTTGTTCAGGATTATTCTATGGCTAATGGTACTGAGGTTTGAACACAGTACCTTGTGGATACGTATCCTTATACATACCGATATCATCTTCATCATCATCTAAACTTTGTTGTTTTCCTGCTCGATAATGCCGAATTTTTTTTAATGCTGCATATTTTCGAGCTACAAAAAAAAGCGAATATCCTTAAAAAAAAGTATAAAAAAACTTTTTATATATTTACCTTCATGAATTGCACGTCGTTCTTGTTCTGTTGTTCTTTCTTCATTTAGGATAACATCCTCTATAACACAAAATAAATATGTATTTTCATTCAACAAATAAATTAACTTACCAGCTCGATTAATCCATTCAACATAATTATTATATTCTCTTTCAACTTGTTGTTGACGACGAATTTTAACAAATGCTCGACGATTTTCTACCCGTTCTCTTTCTTTTGCAAATTCTCTATTAGAAAAAAAAAAAAAAAAAAAAATTCAATACTAAATACCAAAAAGAATTCAAATCTTTACCCGCTTAAAACACCAAGAACAAGATTAAGCATAAAAAACGAGCCAAGTATAATTAATGGTACAAAATAAAGCCAATTAAATAAAGTTCCTACTGCATCATTTGTCTATATTAACAAAAACATTATTTTAGAATATTGGTTTTGTTTTTTTGTAAATTATATTTCATACCCAATAAAGTACTTGTGTCCATCCTTCCATTGTTATACATTGAAAGACAGTAAGCATAGCAAAAACAATATTATCAAAACTAGTTATGCCCTCATTTGGACCTTTCCAATATTCACGACAGACAAGTGATTCATTTGGAATATTACATGTAAATACACCATGTTTTATATTTAACCAACCCCATATAGGTTCTAATTTATAAAGAAAAAAGGCGTTTAGGACAATCCCTATGGGATTAATGTGTGAAACACGATGTAACTACTATTGTTACTCACAAAGAAGTTGTTTTATTCTATCTATTTTTGAACACAATTCTTCGTCGTACTTTTAATTAATTCTTAAGAAATGCAATATAAAGGAGTAGTTTGTATATTCTAACGAGACATTATAAATACACAATCTTTGATGGTATATCAACAATGTCTGTCATAGTGTGTGACGCGTCTGATGAGGAGTGTCGCTAATTGTCTGTCACGTTCTATGATGAACCGTTTCTAATATGTATGTCGTAGTCTGTGATCGTATATCAATGACATTTGTCGGAATAGAAGTGTTGCTAATCTGTCTATCATGGTCCGGGTGAGCAGATACAAATTTCGACATTGTATACTTTCATACTACTTTTAGATCGTGTTTCACAATAAAAGAAAACAAACGAAAAGAATTAAAGACATTTTCTCATTACCTCCGGGTACACCACATGTAGTAGCGACATCATTATCAACTTTGTACATTACTGA